AGCTCCATGTTGGCAAACGGACATGCACTCAAGCTTTCCACAGTTCGAAAAGGGCTTGGATTCTCACTCTGGCTCAAAGCAGGAAAGTTTGAGACTGAAGCTCGTTCAGAATGTGTCAACTATGAGACTTGTTCTGAGATTGTGTTGCGCAATCAAAAAAGTCTGACCTTGACTGGTTGTTTAGAGTTTGAAAGTTTTGCGTGGTTCCGCGCTTTTGTATAATAGCTTTCTTTTCTATTTAGTCGCATTTAGTTTGAGTGAAAAGTTGCATTCCGCACCGGTTCAACCTCTTAGTCAAAAAGAACTTTAACACTAAGCAAGTGTCCAGTGCGCGAACTTGCTGAACAACTCTGTCTGCTGGATGTTGCTCAAAATTCCCATGTGTAATGTGTGCTGCTCAAGGCTGCAAGGACTTAGGGGCTTCAAGGTGGGCTCAAGAGTCACGGAACGAAGGGTCGAAGGGCTTGAAAGAGGGTGAAGGGATTAGAGAGCTTCAAGGGGACTTGAAGCAGCTTGAAGGGGAGAGGTTGAAGGGAGACTGAATCGAGGCTTAAGCGGGAGCTTAATTTGAGAAGACTTCGCCGATAGACATGCTTTGGAATATCTTCGTTGGCATGCTCTGGCAAGAATATGCTTTATCAGCCGGGTGGAGGCTGGTAAAGTGGTCGACGATCTGTTAACTCCTCATGGGTTTGGAAGCCACCATTTGCGAAGTTGAAGCCTGCGTCGTGGAGGTTTCGCGCAAAACGGTTCGCTTGAGGGTTTTCTTGTGTCTGCATGCTTCGAAGCTCGAGTGTGTATCTGAAGCTTGACCGTGAAGAACCCCTGGAAGAGCTGCCTGGTAGATGGACGTGGGACCAATGAGCGAGCTTCTATCCAAATTGAAGGTTACTACGTAACTACCAAAGTCCCCGGACTTGTCTTGTCAGGGCACCTTCGCAGTCTGCTGCCTGGCTTGATCCGAGTTGCATCTGCGAATCGCAGGATGGGGCCGTGACTCGATGCCAGCCTTGCAGCATGATTTTGTCCAAGGAGCGTCGCCTTCTTGCAGCGCCTGGTGGATGGTAGTCTGGACGCTCTACTGGATCTCCTTCTGGCTGAAGAGGTTCTTTTGCGGCGATGGTCTGCCATGGATCCGGTTGACGAGTCGGTGGCTGAGGGAGAGGCACCGAAGCTCCAACTGGGCGATGTCTGCGTCCACTGACTGGCGCAAAGAGTGCATTGAGTGGGGAGGCCTGCTTGGATATTGTGTCTGTCATGAAACCCCCAAAAGATGATAAAGTCGATCTGGGTCCCCTGCTGATCCGCTGTGGCATGAGGAGGGAGGTAGGTTCTTGGAAGGCTCGTTTCGGATGGGCTGAGTGGTCAGCACACCGGGAGTTATGTCGCTGGTCACCAGTAGGCTTCGCCCAAAGGTGATCTGCTGTGAGCTGTTGTTGGGCTTCAAGACCTCCATGGTGCAAGGACGGTCTAACCCTCGCATCTACCGCTGCAATGGTGCAGGGCATGTCGAGTAGTAGAGCCACAGCTAGAAGTTGGGAAGATGAGGAGAGCTGTGCGTTGAAGCGATTCCGGGACTTGGGGCCCGAACGGCATCTGGTAGAGGATGTTGACCGAGGGGGGCGGTGCCTCACAGATGTTGCCGTTCGAGGTGTCTCAACACATAGTTGTGTAGCTATGCACGAGAGGATAGAGCTCTTGCCTGGTACAGTCTGGGAGACTCGGGTCTTCCTGAGGAGGTACCTGGCAAGGTCAATGGAGTAGAGCAGGAGAACCATGACATACGACATGAGTGCAATTAATGCACGGATATAAGTCACCGGCCACACAGGGAAGGAGCCGCGTGTTCGGTACCTGTACCTGGCTGGCCAAGTCAAAGACGACGCACAATGCCATAGTGGTACAGTGCAATAAGGCCACAGAACAGCATGGTAGAGGCGGGTGACAGCCAAGTCGTTTTCCGCGCAAGGGCCGGATGCAGTGGTAGCGGCTGTTCGGTGACGATCCCTGACAAGAGAGGGTCTTGATACATCACCCTCCTGGGGTGCACCCTTCCTGGCTACTGCCAAAATTCGGCCATGCAGAGGCCAACGCCATCTATAGGCTTTCATTCCTGCGCAGCCCGATGCAGACTCAGCCTTCACTGGGTCGTTCGTCCCTTGTCCGCCTGGATTGTTGGGCAGAGATCGGGTGGGGAACCATGCAGATGTGGGACTAAGTGAGGCTTGGGGCCCGGACTTGCGACTGACCTTGGGCTTGGCCGATGGTGATGAAGAGGAGGCCGCAATCGTAGAAGAGCTCTGTCTAGGGCGACGGGGCGTGTCCGGGATCTCACTGGACCAGCCAATGATGCGCTGGTCTTCTTCGATGTTGCGGAGGATATCCTGAAACTCGAACTCGACTTCAAGCCGGCGCAGCTCTTCCGGAGTCATGGCCGTCCGGCCCTCGCGTTCCATAGCAGCCGTGATGGCAGCGGCGACAGAGTTCGCCGTGGGGTCCTCTGCTTCAGCAGCATCAGGAGCTTCGGGAGGAGCTTCAGCAGCAGCAGGAGCTTCAGGTGCTTCTGTGGCGGGTGCATCATCTTGGATCTCCAGCGTGTTAGGGTGCTTGCCCTCGATGGACCCGAGGTGAGCCACGGTAATAGAAATTCGGCGAAGATCCTTCCAATTCCAAGGAAGGTGGCAAAGTATGCGCTCTGCCGCTATTCCGTGGGTGGCATAGAAATCAGCAACTAGGCTTGATAATTGCTGAGCCGGAGCCCGTAGGGCTTGGACCGGTAACGGAGGAGGAGGACCATAGGGTCCAGGTCCACGGTCGGCGGGCACGTCACCGTCATCGACCTCGACATCCGTGAGCTCTGCCGAGTCGGGGTCTGAGAGGGCCATGTCACCATATCCGTGCACGTGCAGTCTTGAGCCCTCAACCATGTACATACATAGGAGCATGGTCGTAACTTGCACAAGCTGCGGGCAAGCATGCTGGACAGGACCCTGCAATAACCTGCCAGAGGGCACTTGGCGAATTCACCTTCCCGTCGCTCGTTGCCAAAGAGGAGCCGGAGCCAATCGAGGACGGCAGACCTGAGGCGAGCGAGTGCTTTGGAGGCAAGGGGTCGTCTCACGCCCTGTCTTCTGTACCTCGGGAACCGGAGCCGCCACCGGCGTTGTGTGCGACCTGGACAAGGGGTACGAGGCAAGGGTTGTCTTGGGCCGGATGTTTGGCCTGCGTCAGTCCATTGACTGGAAGTTCCAGATCCGCGGCTGTCCATGGGGCCAGAAATGATCCAGGAGGGCCGGAAAGTGCAGCCTAACCCATTTCCAAAACTCGAGCTCCATGGGCGGGTACTTGGACCGTCTGGCGATCTGCACCACCACGCAGATGCGGGTGTGGCCAACGCCCCATTCAATGTCGAAGGCATTGAAGAAGGAAGGATCGCTGAGCCACCCGTTGGCCCGTCTTTCCATAGTCTGTCCCATGAAGCTGTAGATCTGTTGGCTGCGGCGGCGGCAAGAGAAAAGCTCTCGTGCATGCTCCTGGGCTTCGTCGCGAGGCATCTTGTTATGGTGGGGAAGCCAGACGCCCTGGTCAAAACTGTGAGCAGCACGCATGTAAGCTCCCACACCAGCTGGAAATTCATGACATTCGCTGGAGCACAGCACAGTGTGGGACCAAGCGCCCCCCGGGCGCGCTATTCAGCCGAGATGCTTATACATACAGACATACATACATACATACATACGTACGTACATACATACATACATACATACATACATACATACATACATACACACACATACACACGCACACACATATATATATATATATATATATATTTACATAGTTTTATACGGTCTTCTCAACCCCTACAACCCCAAAGCGCTTGTTGCAAGCTTGCCGCAGGAAGCCGAGGCTCGGTGGCCAGCGCTGCAGCAGGGGTGATTTATAAACGGCGAGTAGAGAATCCGCCAGTCCAATCACGGGCATTGCAAAGTCTGCGGCGGGCCTGATGAACGGGAAGGGCGATTGGGTGCCCAAACGTTGGCGACAGTCCTTGAAAACATTTAAAAGCACCTTGATCGGGAATGAAGGGGCCACTACGTTGCCGGACCAAGAATCGACCTGTGGATAATTCGCGGCCCGTGCCAGAGTGCAAGGGTTCGCTGCAATGGTAGCATCTGCAAACCCAGCCACAGAGGGCCTTGCAGAGTCGGCGGAAGGTCCGTGGAAAGGGACGGGCGCTTGGGCGCCTATAAGTCTTCAATATCTGTCTTGTCCAAACTTGATAGGCGCGTTCTGGCGCATGACCTGTCAGTTAAAAAAGAAAGGCCCAAAACCCTGTTGAAATTATGAGAGACTGCCAGTGAAGCAGCACTTGTCCTTTGCGCAATGTGCATGTTGGTCGATCTTGCTCAGTTGAACGCCATGCTGCCATGTGTGAAGATCAAACCTCAAGCTGGATGCATGTGAGAAGATACAGCATTCCAGCGTATCCCATTTGGCATACACAGGGCGTTGTCTCATAATCGGTACATGCCTACGTTCATTGACACCTTTTGTATTTGCACCGTTTCACAAGTCCATGTGTGCGAGTCAGAGTTTCGAGCTGCATCATCGCCGGAAGCATGGCGCCGGCTGCCGAAAGCAACTTACAAGGCCGTGACTCGGGAGTTTCCGAATATTGGGGGTACCTTATTTTGGGGTCCTTATATCAAGGATCCTATTATTTAAGTTACTATATTAGGGTCCCCTATTTTCAGAAACCCCACTTCAGGGCTGGCATGCTATTGTGACGTAAGTGCTGGAGTTCACGAATCAGACTTTGCTACAGGCATCTAGGATTGGCAACACGTCGTGCACGTTGTGCAGGTCATGGCCCAGCTGCTAAGATCGCGGATGAACTTGCCTGAGCTGGCGAGGTTTGCACTACGGCATTGGTTTTGTTCTCGTAGCGTTGAACTTGTGTTGGGGCGGGTGTCTTCAAGAAGCGCCCTAAACGGCTTTCCGTTTCTCGTCCGTCTTGGTGCTGCAATGATTTCTTGTTCTCCTCTCCGACGGACTGGCGAAGAGCATGTTCTGTGCCGAGGTTACGGAATACTTCCCCCTGGGCCCTGTGACGTCCGCGTCGCGCAGTTTCTTGGCATTGCTTGACAAAGCCTTTCGAGGTTGAGATGTTCGTGCTCACTGTCGAGATCCGTTTGGAGGGGTTGCCTCGGTCGTTTCCCGAGGTTTCCTGCGCTTGCGCCTGAATGGCGACTGCCGTGAGCTCTTCGTCTTAAGGCGCTGCTTTCGCAGGTGTCCAGGTCTCGGGTCGAAATGGGTCGAGGGTGCTGCCGTCGCGCGAGGTAGGCTTGGTGCAGACTTCACGGAGGCTTCACTTTAGAGTGTTTTGTGACAGTTTGGGTTGATTCGTGTGCGCAAGGCTGGGGATTTCAGGACACGAGCGAGGGTGCCGGGAATCAACGCCCACAAGTCCCCATGAAGGCAGGCTGGCGTGGCGCCTGCACTCTTCTGCCGTGCAAGTTGGCCGAAGGCCCTGAGGCGAGATGAGAGAGAGAGCAGGCTTGCGTCGCAGTTCCTGCCGGATTTCCTTCACCCGTCGATCGTGCATATATCCGATGTTCCATTGCTGCATGCTGCAGAGTCCTTCCTTGCCAGGGCCCGGTTATTTCCGTCCGCAGACGAGGCCCGTCGATCGCAATTCGGGTGTTCAATCCTGAACCTAAACCCGAAGCCGGGCATTTTGATTTGAAACCCGGCCATGAGAAGCCTGTGACTCCGCCAGGATGTCAGGCGCGTGTGGGGTGTAGCTCTGCTCCGCCACGGCCTAAGTCAATCTCATCTTCGATGAATGGTATACGGCCCCAGGGTTTAGGATTTAGGGTAGTAGAGCTACTAGTATGTGGTCGCTACAAGGGCATCACATCTGTCGCCTCTATCTGTCCGGATCTTCAGATTGTCTTCGCAGTCTTGCGTCTTCATTCTTCCCACGACGCTCAAACCCTAAAGCCGAGGTGCGGCTCCGCCAGAGCGATACACGGTGCTTTGGACCCAGCGCAGGGACCAGAATTCCAGGGTTCACGGGTTGCAGAGCAGAGTTCACAGCGTCTTTGAGTTCCAGCTCAACAGTGGGAAGAGCTCAGGGTGCAGGTTGGTGGATCACGGGCACAGCTTGAGGTGTAGGCAGGGATCTGTGTTTTGTTCCAGGCTCTGCCCTCCTGGGATGCCTTTCGGATGCATGAAGCTCCGTTTCTGCAGAGCTTCGAGGGGCTCCCTCTGTATCCTCCCTAAACCCTGGGCCCGAGGCCTGTACCCGGGCGGAGCTGCAATCGAGGTCAGACCTGCACCGCAGCCTCAGCAAAGACCTTGGTACAGACCTCGACCAGCAGGGCACAGGCTCAGCTGCCCTGAACCCTAAGCCCTGAGCCGTGTGAATTTGGATGCATTTGGGGTTCCTAAGAGGTGGCTTGCGAAGCTATAAAAGACTTGAGGACGACTTCCGCTTTGCAGTGTTGACCCAGGAAGTCTTAAGACTCTCTGCAGAGCCAGAGAAGGAGCTGTTGTCTTATGTTACTGCAAACCCAAACCGTTAGGCCAAAACGCACTACCCTAAAACCCAAACTCTAAAAACCCTAAACCCTAAACCCTAAACCCTAAACCCAAACTCTAAACCCTAAAGCCTTGAACCCCGCTCTGCTCTGTGCAGCCTTCGTTCCGGGACCTTGGTCTTCGACCTGCCGCGTGAAGGGCGTTCGGGGCCCGGAGGCTTTCGACTCTGCTCTCGTTGTTTCTGCAGATCCGAATCCGAGCAAAAAGCATGATATAGGGTTTAGGGTTTAGGGTTTAATTACAGCAGAAGATACCCCAAAACCCTATTCTACTTATTAGGGCCCCTATATTACACGTTAAAAATAATGTAAACCAAACTAAGCAGTGGCACCCGCTCGAAGAATCTTAAGCTGGAGGTTACAGCATTCCATGCTGGACTCCTGTGAGTTTTCAGGTTGCTGAGCACTGCCGGCCGGCGCGGCTGGGTTTCTGGGGGTTGGGGGCCCAGCTGATCTGTGACACGTTGCAGAGTTTCGCCGTAGATTTCGGAACTACGGAGTTCAAAGCTTCAAGGACTCGACAGGAACTCCGTCGCCAAACAGAAGTAAACACCAACTAGAAATACATGGTTTCAGAAGCAGACATGTGTGATTTGCCTTAGATTTTCCTAGCCAAAGCCTCGACCTTGGAGCTCGGCCCTCGCGCGCTGGAAGGTGGCTCTTTCGGTTGAAGCATTCCGTGTTGGCCGGGTGCTTGGAGTCGGGTTTGGGTTTGGGGTTTGGGGTTTAGGGTTTGGTAGCGTCAGGGAATGAGATTCCAAGCTTCAGCCTGCGGTGAACCGGTCTATCCGGGCGTCCGCCATTGTGATTGGGTGGGACAAGCATCCCTTCGAATCTTTCCGAAGCCTGCACATCCCATCTGATCGAAGATCCCTGCGTCAGTGGAGAGCCTCCTATTCACGACGTCACGTTGGTGGTGCCTTGTGTGATGATATCTCAACCGGTGATGTTGTGATGCAGCAGCAAAAACATGTGAATTGCACACTGTAGGACTTGCCGCCTCCGGCCCAGCCGCTATGATTTCCGTGCAGATATGGGTTGTGCTTCAAAGAGACTAAGGCGTTCCCGGATAGCACATGAAAGGAACATAAAGAACGGAGCCTGCAGGTTGCATGCCACAGCTCATTCCTGGGAGGCTGTGCGCCTGCAGTGCCCGGATGCAGAGGAGGCGGGAGTCCCAACATGCCTTGATTTCTAGATCTTCTTTCCAGAGCCCTAAAGAGAAACCCTACACCCTAAACCCTAAACCCTAAGCCCTAAACCCTAAACCCTAAGCCCCCCAAACCCCAACGGCCCTGGCAGTCCTCTAGAACTCAGGGACGGCGTGCCGAAACTGATTGCTGCAGGATCTCCTCTATCTCGACAAGAACGCCGACGTGGGCGTGAGCTGGCGTCGTGCGGGGTGAGGGTCCCGCTTCTGAGCTTCTCAGTGTTAGGCTTGAGGCTCAACTTTCGGGGTGAGGTTCTGTTGCGCTACCACGGGTAGAGGAAGGGTTGTTTGCATGAGGTCAGCACATGCAGAGTCACACAAGACAGGGCATTCGAGCGTTGGAACATGCTGGTTCTAACTTCGACAGCCCTCAGCTCTGAGCAACCTGAGTCGGACATAGCTGCAAGCCCCGAGTTCACAGCACCTCAGGTTTCTGGAACGCTTCGCCGAGGCTCGGCACTTCGATTGAAGATTGGGTGTTTTTTGAGCGTCTCGCATGCCTCGGTCTATGAAGTTTCCACATGTTCCCAGAACGAGGGCTGCGCCGGTGCATCGTGGTAGGTGCATCGTGGTAGGTGCATCTGGTTGCTAGCCAGCCTCAGACTACCAGTGTGCAATGGACAATGCCAGCACTACTGAGCGGCCGCTGCAACGATTCGTGCCAAGTTGCGGCTGCTGCCGCTATTGCTGCAGCTGCTGCCATTTTCCCGGCTTCAACGACGAAAACAATCACGATTGCTACTACTACAGTACTACACCGCCTTCACTGCACTTTTTTCCATCTCCTGCCACTGCTCCTGCCGCTGCTCCGGCCGGTTTGGCCAGGCTCCTCGGACTGGCTACAGCTGGGACGTTGATCTGGATGTGCAGGCAAGCCGGGCTCTTTAAGGAGACACGGAATTCCATGGCAAACCTGGGTCTCACGCTCGCGCCATTGATAGACCCTGGAAGACAGAGGCAAGAGCGGCCCTAGATGCCGCGGGCATGCAGGGCACGCGAGCTCGAAAGTATTGATGCCCGTCAAGCGTTATCTGCCCTTTTAGCTTCATTGCGATAGAGCCACTCCGAGCAAGGTATCCAACGTACTCAGGGGCTGTCATCTTTCCTGTGTCGCAGTCTGTCATACACGTAATTAGTAGTCGAGCTATCAATTTTCTGATCGTTGCTATCGTTTCGAGCCTTGGTGTGGTATGAGGTGTTGTCACTGTAGGTTCTTCGGTCGCCTCTTGAGTCCTTGTGGCCAGCCACTTGGTTCGCACAGCATCTGCGCGCATTTCTGACTGTGGAAATCGAGAAGATGCCCGGTTCTTTGCTTTGCTGCATTTCCAGACTAAGATGGAGGGCTCAGGCTTCTGAAAGTGAACTGTATGCGATTCTTAGCTGTAGAAGCAATAAAGAGCCTTCCCCTCGTTGCGAGACCTTCTGGGATGCCGTCGCCCGTCGCCCAGCTTCGGTGACCTGTGTGTTTGATGACCTTATGTAAGCTGCGCGAACTAGCTCGTCGTAGGATGCCTTTCTTGCGGGCGAGGAAGTCTTCGTTGGGTTTGGGCACATGCGGCGAAGAAGTTCCAGTTTCCCTGGGCAGTGGGATGCAATGCGGCAGAAACACAGACAGGACATGTGAATCCACGTGGCTGCTAGGCTTCGCTTCGTGGTTCGGAGGCCCATAAGGGAGTTTCCGAAAATTAGGGTACCTTGTTATGGGGTTCTTATAATAAGGGTCCCACTATTCAGGATACTATATTAGCCTAAACCCTAAACCCCTAAACCCTAAACCCTAAACCCTAAACCCTAAACCCTAAACCCTAAACCCTTAGGGTCCCCTGTTTTCGGAAACTCCCATAAGCTCTCTAAGCCAAGCCGGGCCCCGAGCCCGGAGAAGAGAAGCGGCCCCAGGCTGCTACGAAAGCCTTCAGGGAGGCCCAAGAGGTAGGGCCGGGCCAGGGGTAGGGTTCAAGTAGCACCCTAAACCCTAAACCCTAAACCCTAAGCCCTAAACCCTAAACCCTAAACCCTAAAGCTCAAGCTCAAGGGTTAGCACAGGCCAGAAAGGGGGTAGAGTGTGCCATTACTGCCGGGCGGAGAGAGCTTTCCTGCATCGAAAAACTTGAGAGTTGCTGCTCGCTTCGACAAAAGTTCTGAACTGCCAGATTTGCGAGATCAGTGTATGAGCGAGAGCACTTCTCCACGTAACGTGGAAATCTCTTTTGGAACTTGGGGGCCGCCTCACCTTCGGGTCAACAAGCCATTGCGGGATCCACACTTGTGGAAAGTTCCGCCGGGCGGACAGGACCCTCGGGGTCCCCTATACGATTGCAGAACCACTGGAGAGATCGCCTACGGGGCCTGCAGAAGGAAGATGTCGGAAACGGACCTCCTTGATATCCAGGGAGGAGTGACCACCAGACCGAAAGCGGCACCGACAGGACCGCCACCTCCTCGAGCAGCTGCCGCAGGAGCAGGACCAAAAGCCCCAGAGCCGGATGGAGTGGGCATGGCCGTGGACGAGGGATATGAAGAAAGACGTGCCGGGCACAAAAGGACGAATGAGCAAGAAGCCCCTTCCCCTACCCGGGCGAGGGCAGACACTGGAGGACAGGCCATCACTTTGGATGCAATCCGATCCCTTCTCCAGGAGCAGACCAGATCTCTTACAGACAGCCACCAACAGGACCTCATGGATCTTAAAACTGCGACTTTCAAAGAGCTGGGGAGTATCAAGAAAGATGTCAGAAAACACGGCGACTTTATCGACCAGCTTCGAGACAACCAGGATAAGATCGAAGAGAGACTCAAACGGCTCGAGATGCGTGGGCCTGCCTCGGTCGCCACTACCACATCAGATGTGGAACGCCCCAACTTCATGATACTAGGTGGCTGGCCTCAAGATACCCAGAAGGAAGTGTTGCTTACTGAGCTTAAGGACTCGTTGCGCCAGCTTGGCATGGAGGATACCTTCGAGGATATCTTTTGTGCTGGACCGAGGAGAGGCTTCGCCATGGCCTTTATCGCCATGCACGCCAGTGAGACAGGCGTGCAAATCAAGCGGAGGATGATTCTTATCGCTCAGCAGATCCAGAGAGCCGGGATCAATACTCCCAGCATGGAGCCTACACGGACTCTCAAAGCCACACTCGGAAAGTCAAAGCAGGAGAGGCTCATCTCGAACCACACTGGCAACACCAAGCGCCTCATCTTAACGATTTCCCCTACCAGCCAGGCTCAGGTCGAAACGGAGTACGCTGCAGGCAACGTGTGGTTCAGATCCAAGCTTGTTGCCAGCGCAACACGTATGCCACCACACAGCAACTGCATTTCTGGAAAGCCCGAGCGAAGCTGGATTGACGTTGCTACGCTAGAGACCATGCTGAAGACCCCGGGGGAAGAGATCACCAGACAATGGGGTGACCTCATGGCGCTCTGAGAACCCTTGATAGAAACTGAGCAGGAATTGGTCTGTGACCGTTGCATTCAGCACAGACAGCAGGTTGTCCAGCTGCAGGAACATGCCCTACACGGTGCAAATCCCTACTGCGGGTCAGACCCTGGTGATGTTGCCGAAAAACAGGCGAGAACACCGGGGGCACAAGATTCACTAATTCATAGTCAATGCATACCAATGTCGTCAGCTTCGGTGCATCGAGATGATGTTTTGACACGCAATCCCTTTGACATTCTGAGGGCGAACACGCCCGAACTACTTGAGGTACCGCAGGAATCATCGAGCTCTCGGGGCCTTGATGAACAAGCCTCGAAAGACACGGCACAAGAGGTTCCGCCTTACGCTAGAATCTGCATCGCCTGCTGGAACATAGGAGGCACGAGCTTCTCCAATGCTGTACAGTCAACCAAACATGCGATGAAGATAAAGCCTGAGATCTTTTGTGCGCAAGAGATGCCACGGAGAGACCTGGGATGGCACACTGAGGTCATCGAAGAACTCACTCTAGTGCAGTACCGCCATGACGACCAGCAATGGAGGGGGAATGCTATTGCATTCGGCCCGCAGTTTCAGGTGCTTCGGAGACGAGGATGTCGATTTGGGCTGTGGCTCAGACTGAGGCATCTTCCAACAGGAGACGAAGTATGGGTCGGGAGCTTGCGACTCAGCACAGGGGTTAATAGCGATGTGACAGCGGACGAGATGCAGGAAATGTGCAAGCTTCTACCACCCACCTTGTTACCGGTCATTCTTATGGGAGACTTCAACACGAAGCTCAAGTGGACTGATGCCCTTGACCCCCAGGGAGATACTCTCGGAGTTAGGCAGCTCTGGCATGAGTATGAAGGCACCTGTCAGGGCCCAATGGGATGTGCCGACCAGTCGACCCAGACGGACTAAGGTGAATGGGCACCAAATCGATGGAGTAGCCTGTAAACATGCCAGAGTAAGCCCGCTCGAAATTGCCGTAGATAGCTACAGGCAAATCAGTGGCGATCATGACCGAATAAGCTTCGAGCTCATGCTTAGACTCCCAGAAACCGAAGCACCGCCTCGAGCCCAGACAGGACCCCGATGTGTGTGTCGGAAACCGCCGACGTTGCATGTCGTCGACCAGGCAGTGCTACAAAAACTTGCCAGGACATGTACCAAACCACGACCAGGACTAAGATACAGGGATCCCAAGTCAGTCAAGCAGCTATACCAAATAGCTAAGACTACCGGGCGAGAAAGAGACTGGAAGGCTGCGCACAAAGCCAGAAGACAAGCACAGGAATCATGGAGAAATGACAGGAACGAGCAAGCGGCGGACGGGCATTGGCAGAGCTTTGGAGCCCTCAAACCACAGACGGGGCATCCACTATGTGGAAGCAGCCGAAGAATCCAAACAAGAGCCGAAGAAATGGACCATACAACATTTCAAAATGCTGTTCCAACCTGTAGCCCCAAGACAGCCACCTAGATGGAACAAAAACATCGACACAGGGAACCACTTCACGCTTACGGACCTCAGAGAAGCATTGACGCGCGGCAAGAACAATAAAGCAGTCGGGGAAGACCTGGTGTCCTTTGAGCTAACAAGATCCCTCTGTGAAGATGAGGAAACGGAAAAAGCTTTCCTCGAATGGATGGAGCGACTAAGGTGTCGAGAGGAGTTGCCTAAGGAATGGCTGCGAACGGTAGTCACATTGCTGCCGAAGACGGACAAACCAAGGGGACCTAAGGATCTCCGCCCGATCAGCGTGGGGGCCTCAGCTGCCAAAATTTTTGGCACGATGCTCCTCATGCGCACCAGGAGATATGTGACCCCATCTGGACCAGCTCAGTGTGCACACAACGGAAGACAGACCTGCGACTACTTGTATGCTGCAATCAAGTCATTTAGCTTGGACACGGAATGGCACCTGGGACTCAGCTGGTGCAGAATAGACATACAGAAAGCATTCGATACCCTGTCCAGAGATCGTACATTACAACTCCTGAGAGACCAACTGCCACCAGAAATGTTTCTCGAGTACAGATGCTGGGAGAGACTCTTCTACGAAGGGACGGCGGTAATCAAAACGCCTTGGGGAGATGCTGAAGTACCACAAGGGCGGGGAATCCGGCAAGGCTCAGTTGAGTCCCCATTTCTGTTCGCTATTGCAATTGAGATGGCGATGTGTCAAGCAGTTCAAAGATCAGACTGGCCGAAAACAATACCGGCAGCGCCAGACATTCCAATCGCTGAATTATTATTTATGGATGACACATTGCTCTGGGCAGCAAATAGGGATGATATGGTCAGGAAATACAACATCCTCAAAGAGGAGCTCTACAAATGGGGCTTGAAGGTGAATCCGGAAAAAACAGCCTACTACCACTCTCCATACAGTACCACTCCTGGAGATGTGGTACTCGATGGACAACGAATCAGCCCTGCCAGCAACTTCACAGTCTTTGGAATACCTCTGGCAGTACCACTGAAGCCGACCAGCCTCATGGATACAGCCATGTGCAAGGCTTCTAAGAAGTTCTATGCGAACAAGCACATTTTCATGTCGAGAGCCCCCCTCAAAGGCAAGCTGAAGACCTTTCAGTCCATCGTGGGCGGGAGTGCACTTTGGTACAGTTCAGCCATTTCTCCTACGAGCCAAGCCCTTAGTAGCATGAACACACTTCAATTGGAGCTGCTCGGCAAAGTCATAGGATTTAGACGACGCACAGATGAAACTTGGCTAGATTTCAGAACCAGATCCATGAGAGGAGCAAGACATGTGCTTCATACGCAGAACATGGACAGATGGTCTACTACATGGCTCAAGCGCTTTTGGGCGTACAAAGGCCATATAGCGAGAGCCGCCCATAGGGAAAAGCCCCCAGCTAGCTCTTACATGGACAGGTGTAGAACACTGCAGTGGTGGCAACAGAAACAACGGGAAGGATTGTCCCATCCCAAAGCCTTCTACCCGTACCACACGAATGAAGAAAAGACCATGAACAAAGCAGCTGCCAGTCAAGATTGGCGAATCACTGCGCAAAACCTGCAGCAGTGGAGTGCAAGGCAGGCCTCGTGGCTTGAGATAATGGACGTAGTTTGGGCCTCAGGCAGACAACTCGCACTGCAACCGTAGAGGTATGTTCGTAGTAGACCCTGTTTCGAGACCTGAGTGGTCCAGCCACTGAAGTGAAGCCGCCGGCTGAGTAGTGGTCGGAACCTCCGTTAAAGAAAAACTGACCCCCTCTTTACCCTGCCCTATACCCTAACATTACCTACCTCTACGTCCTTTCCTTCTCTCGCTACATGACCAGGAATTGTCAGAGTGCCCATCTCGCATGATCGACATGTGTTATCATTCTTGATGTGAAACCGCAGCAACTTTTCTTTCTTTTGCCGAACAGAACTTAGAGCAGGCAACAGTGTAAGCCCTGCGAACCGCACCATGTGGAGACTCGTTATGATCGCCCACTATTGGTGGTGGGGCTTGTTTCTGCAGCCAATCCAGGGCCAGCAGCTACTACTTGAACAAGAACAGCCCCAGACCCCTTCGACATGCTCACACGTCACCCCGCACAACGAGAACTACGAGCACAACGACATCCACGACAAATCAAACAGGCGAAGTGCAGCACCGGACCTCAGTGAGGAACTCAGTTTGTGGCAGCACGGCCACCACCCGGACTTCAGTGCACGATTCTGGGAACTATGGCAAGAAGGGTTCCAGATGCGCGAGGCCTTCTCCTACGCCCGCCACCTCATCAACACGGACCATGAAGCGCAAGAGGGAGACCTGGGAGCGCTTCATGTGCTATCGGAGCCCTTTGGAGGGTGCGCGCAGCAGGAGCACCCGGAAGCTACCTCACCAGTGATGAAGGAGATCGGGCATGAAGTTTGGGTCATGTGTGTTGCTATGGCCAGAGTGGCAGACAGTGCACAACAGGGACCCAACGCCACGGAGGAGACCAACCACAGCTCGGAGCCCTCCGAAGACGCGCGTCCTTCGGCTTACCGACAACGTCAACCCGGAGATGGCCATACAGCGCAGACCGAGGAGCACGATGTCACACAACTCATGGAAAGCAGCTGGCACACCGACCGCAGGAAGATGAGCCCCACTCGCCTGTGGAAGGAGCTTCCAGCTTCTCAGAAGAGTGAATCGGTGCGACGCTTGGGCCCGCGACAACCGCCTTGGAAGAAGCACAACAACCCGCCCTTGGCAGATCGAGGGCTTAAGCGAGCTGAACCGCCCCGAGCACCGCCGCCTACTACAAGAAAGCCAGCAAGAGCAAAAGCACGCCCAGCGAGCTGCCGAGACCGACACATTCCAGAACCGACCACCCCGGACGAAGAGGAAGTGGAGGTGGTCGCAGACGAAGGGGCGGAAGAGGCCGAGGGTGATACCCAAATGACGCAGACAGACGCGCTCACAGTATGGCACTCGCTGTTCGAGATGAACCAGGACGAGAACGTGGACGTGTATCACGCCCCCGCGCTCCCCACCCACATCATGGACAACATCGTGGAGACACTGGTGGACCGTCCCGAATCCGAGCACGACATGCTGGTGGACACTTTGCCATTGTTCCTGGGGAGACTCCAGACGGACTTTGCTCGGGCCCTTAGCAGGGCTCGCAAACTTCGAGGACAACTGAGCGGGAGCGCATCCTCCACGGACGTCCCTCGCGGAGACCGGAACCATGATCCGGGCTTTGAGGAGCAAGACGATACGGTGCACATGCAGACCACCATCGACAAGAGCCTGAAAGCTGTGGCCTCCCCAGAAGACCTGCTGCTGGGTCGTCTACATAGAGCTTTCATGCAACTGAGAGTGGCCACAGCGAGCAGTCGTGCCTTGAGACTCGCGAGCCTCCTCGCGGAACATGATGGCCCGTTGGCCGTGGACCGGTCGCTGCTTGAGAGCTTACTGGTGGCCATCAATGAGGAGACCCCCGCTAAGGAACAGGGGGATCACCTCATCCTCGAGCACCAGTGGGTCAACATGTGGTGGCGACGGCTACAAGGCAAACCGGAGATAACGGACGAAGATGTCGAAGCTGAGCTCCAGATGATCGAGGATAGACTCACCGACCAGGAACAGCTCAACCGCGAAGCCGAGGAAGCACACCAGGATGCCCAGGAAGAGCTGTATTACCGCCATCTGGCGGAGGTGGTGGAAGAGCATCAAGAACAGCGCAAGTCAACGGAGCTGCAAGCGGAAGAAGACGCCATCATGAAGGCAGCTATGGACTTCACCAAGACCAAGCCCAAAACAAGGATGTGCCTCGGAATATGCATCGAGGCAGGCCGGAAAGTGAGAGCATGGGAATGGGAGCTGGACTCTGGAACGCAAGTGCAAGTACACATCAAAGCGGAACCCCGAACCACCCCGGGAGTCTGGATGAAGCACGGCAAGCCAGTTCCGGAATCGGAAGTGCCCAGAGTACTTCTCGAGCCGAAGAGCACCTCCGCCTCCTCCTCGAGCACACCAGCTACCCACGCTTGCGCGCCGATACTACGACATCGACAAGCCAGCCACCCGAGAGTTGTACAACAGGTGGGTGAACCGAGCTGTCTCACCTCAGGCGGTCGTACAAGTGGGAGGCCCGGGATTGCTGGCATACTTCCATGAGCAGTACGACAAGCAGGAGGCCAGCGAGCGACGACAGGCCATGGATGACATCCCCCAAGAGATTTTCGAGGACCTCGAGAACAGGGACACGCTTAGCCTGGAATGTCCAGGGGGAGCGCCGAATGACGACCATGCAGCGACTACGCAGCCGCTTCCGGATGACACCGAGAATGGCACCGACCGTCCTGCAGTGAGCCAACAACCGGCCCCAACAGAGACCGAAAATCCGGACCCGTACTACAATGGTCGCTTGTGGTACGAGAAGTACGGAGGCAGCACAGAACCTTCGGAAGATTCGCGAGATTAGTAACGAGTCATGTGTTGAGTGCTGAGACATATTCAAACTTGAGAGTCTTTGTCATTTCCTTCTTGAGCAGATTACATGTGACTCAACATGTGACGGATGTGATTTTGGACGGCTAGGGCAACAGCTGGAAAGCCGGGTCATCTTGCTTCTTGTATAGCATCTTTCCTTCAACCTGCTTGTTATGCTTTGGGACTTAGCACAGCTGCTGCCGCCCCTCGCATTGTACAGACTGCGAACAACCATCTCCCGCGGCCAACCGGGAAAACAGCAGATCGAAGGGTTTGAGATGATAATCATAAAGCTAAGTTCTGATTTCGAAAGCTGGCT